TACTCTCAGCTCCTCCCGCCCCGGCTGGGCCTAGACGTTGGCCCAGGGTTCAGAGCTCCTCCACATTAGGGGAACATGGAAGGGACGTGGCAGTGGCCTTGGATGGGAAGCTAGGCAGTGGTCATATGCACACTTTGGGACAGTCCCCAGGGTTCCTCATCCTGGTTCCACTTCTTTTTTTTTTTTTTTAAATTTTTATTGTGATTTAGGTGAAAGTTTACAGAGCAAATTTGTTTTCATACACATACAGCATTTCATACACATTTTGTTTTATAACATTGATTGCAATTTCCCACAATGTAACAGCTCTTCCCACTTCCTCCCTGTAGTTAGCTCTTGCCTGTGTCTTTCTTTCCTATGCATTCCTGTCCCCTGAGCTATCTCCCTGTGCAAATACTGCCATTCTGTTCTCCCATGATTGATCATTCTCAAGAGTGTATCTACCTGATGTAAATGTTCACCTTATATGTCTGTCTGTTGTTTGGATGGAAGCCACAGGAGTGAGTTCAGTTCCAGACCTGAAGGGTAACTAGGGGCCATCATCTTGGGGGTCTCACCAGGCTCTATCAGACCACTAAACCCGGTCTTTTTTATGATTTGAGTTTTGTTCTGGTCCTACCTTTGGGTACCTGCAGGACCTCTACTGTGCTTAGAGCCTCAGTTTCCTCATCTGAAAATGGGGAAACAATAATACCTTGTGGAGTTTGTGGTGAGAAACTATGTGAAATAAAGCTTTTGATGGTAATTGTTATTATTCCCTTAAAAAGGGGGCTAGGAAATATGAACAAGATTGGTGCAAATCTATCACCATCCTCATGATCATTTCTGCCATTTACTGAGCATGTGCATTGACCCATGAACTGTTTTACATGTGTTTTGGTCTTAGCCCAGCCCTGGTGGATGTTTGCCCTCATATCATAGGTGAAGGACCTGAGCATCAGAGAGAGTAGGCCACTTGCTCAAGGTCACACAGCTAGTGAAGCCTGGGGCTGGGGTATGCACTGAAATAATGTGAGGCAGCTCAAACCAGGGGTTCTCAACAGGCACTGTACTGTCTCCCACTGTCCCCACCATCTCCCCAGGACTTTTTTTGTGAGGCAAAGTTGTTCTTCTCAGAATAATTGTGCTTGAGCATTTTCATACCATAATGTATATTATTTTGTTACAAATTATCTTTTATTTCTCCTTTATAGTCCAGTAAAAGAATTATATTGGTTCTTAAAATATGCGTGAAAGTAGGTGATATAGAAAAAAATCATAGAAAAAATCTATGAATTTTATTTCACAATTTTAAAGAGGATGACACGAATACATGTAAACAAATGTAAAATGGAGTGCTGGATCTGAAAGATGGAAAATCCTTGGAATACAGAAAGCTTTCAGCTCAGTACTGGCCTAGTAAAGCCCTTGTAAATGGTAGCTAATCTTATTATAATATGAATCTGGAAATATTTCTTTTTGTTTACTTTGCAATAATTTTAGATGTACAGCAACGTTGCAAAAATAGTACAGAGCATTCCAGAATATTCTTTACCCAGATTTCCCTAGTGCCTAAGGCACTTGACTGCTAACCAGAAGGCTGGTGGTTCAAACCCACCAGCCACTCCTCAGAAGAAAGGTTGGGCAATCTACTTCCGTAGTGATACCGCTTCGGAAACCCAAGGAGGGGTCGCTATGAGTCAGGTCTGACTCCACGGCACATAACAACAACAGAACCATAATATAGTAAAATCCGCAAATGTTGGAACCTGTGTAAGGTGGAAACCTGTCTGAGAAGGAAAACTCAAATATTTTCTACCAATAGAGAGTACTAGAAGAGTGATAAGACTGTACCCTGTCAAAGGTGGAAAACTTGTGAGACCTGGAAAAACAAGGCAGTCCTATGGAGTTCTGGCTTGGATCTCACTGTACAATGACCAAAGCCAGAAAGTTAACATCAACTCAAACCGTGAACTGCTCTGCAGACCTCAGGCACTAGTTTTCCCACTGATGTCCTGCACTGCTCAGGATCCAAGCCAGTATCCCAGCCAGTCTCCTCCAATCTGTGATAGTTTCTCACCCTGTTCTGGTTACCTAGTGCCACTCTGACTGGAATATAGACCACAAATGGGATGGCAGTAACAAACAGGAGTTTATTCTCTTACAATTTGGGGGCTTTAAGTCCAAGTTCAAAGTGCCAGGCTCCAGGGGCTGAGTGAAAGCCCCTCAGCCTTGGGCTTCAGCTCTGCCTACAGCTCCCAGCCCACTGAAGCTAGAGGCTTTTCTTCACTCAGACAGCTGCTGGCTGCTGAGGCTGCCAAGCCCAAGTTGACAAGTAACAAAGCACAGT